ACGGAAGTAGAGGCTGCAATCGGTGGGAACACCCCCAAGGGTGACAAGCTTCTGACGCCAAATCAGCTGCTCTTTCCGCCCAATAGCGTCTTTTGGTTTTGGTCATCATTGAAAGCGTATACCTCCCAACCGGAAGTCTTCCTCGGCTTCACCTCTTGTGGCGTCATGTCGCCTTCAAAAGCTTCCTACCTCCATGGTCTTTACAGTGCAGCTTGTTTCTGACAGGTCGCCAAGAAGTATGTTGGGGTGAAATGATCACTTAAGGAAATCTCTTGCCGGCAAATGAGAAGACAAAGCGCACAATACTGTGTTTTTAAAGTTGCCTGTTTGACTTACAAGTTATGCAGCACGCGGCCTCATCCCACCTAAAAAAGCAGAGGAACTTGAAGGATGGTTTTGGCATAACCATCATATGCCATTTTTTCCAATATTTGTTATGAATATAGATACAATAAATCGCATGCCGCAGAGAATAGAACCTGGGTATTATAAAAAAAAAGCTTAGTGTAGGTAGCTTAAAAACCGCTGGAGCGCCCCAGTAAAAACTCTTAGGCTAGAATATAAGAGCTATGGAAGCACCGTTGAAAATAATTTCAAGTGTACGACATAAACCAGGTCGTAATATTGAATCTGAATGTCTCTACGACGCGGAACGAAACAAAGAAACGTCACCTGTCAAGCGACACTCACGCAGCTTGGATCAAAACGAGTGATGTTTTGAATTATAGTAATAAAATGAACACTTTATTTCATACTTTTTCAAGAGTATTTGGCATAAATAAGAACGCAGACTATTTGAGACGTTTTATTTGTTGTTCCCTTTTTTGTCCGTCGTCTTGGTTTTTCTTTTTTTTTTCTTTTAATGTGTACATTAACCAGCTGGCCTGCCTACCCACTTTATCTTCAAATCTAGCTTTGCGGCATTATTCTTTCAAGAAATTCAACTGCTTCGAAAAATGTTAACATTTCACACTTCTAAAATTTACCCTTTATTAATACCCAGTTTCACTTTTTTTTTTTCAGCCGCGACAGTAGTTCATGAATGGGCTCATTTTAGATACGGGGCGCTGGATGAGCATAGTTCCTGGCAAACGGATCAGGATATCTACGACCGCTGGTGCAGAAACAAAAATGTAAGTACCTCAACTCTACAGTCAGTTTATTTTGTGGCAAAACTTGGAGCGTAATCGTGTCATCGTACCTATAGAATGCATAGCTCAAGCAAACTTCCGAATGTTTTTTTTTTATTCCTCTAAATCATTCACATGGATTGCGCTGCAAATTAAATAACGTCAAGCACAACCGATACCCATGTACCACTAGGAAGATACAGTTTATGACAGTTATTTTTATTTCTGAGCTGTTACTAATAAGTGACGTGTATTTCTAGATGCACTGTAAAGTAATATACTGTATTGCAATTTTTCATTTAATGCAAATATTCATACCGTAAAATGTTTTGTTATGCTTGAAAGAGACCCCATGTGGTGCCTCACATCAAATGCGGGGAAAACCTTAAGATCGCTTCCTCGTGTCAAACATGCGATAACAAACCATGCAAATTCCATCGTTTGTTTGAGAGATGGGACAAACCAAATGCATCTCTCATGTATCAACCGTACATTAAAGGGGTAAGTGCGTTTTTGAGAATATTCTCATTTAACGGCAAAATAGCAGGTGTATTAGAACAAAATATTAGCCCGTTTAAAAATTACATTGTGGAAAGAAGACTGAATTCCACTATAACAGTTCTGGCTAGGTTTCAATAAATGTCAACAGCATTTGGGCAGAGGATATTAGACTATCTTCGGCCATTGTATTAATACTTTTATGGATCGTGCTCAGTGGCCGCACAGCGCTAACAACTAATACCGAATTTGTTTTTCAACTTGCAAACAAATGTTCAATAAAGTATTGAAATAGAGATTATTTTCGCAATGAAAACTTCTTGGCGGTTTAAATTTTTTAAATTCAATTTTTGTGAGCTAGACTCTATGCCCCTGATCCTCTGTGAAACTCCCTAATAAGATTAAAGTATTGATTTTCCTTACACCAAAAAAGGATTTGGTGAAATTTGGTAAACTTCTTCCTTACTTGTTTCCTGACGAGACCAACAAAAGGCACTGAAATCTTCAAAAACGTTGTTGAAGTGCCTAAACAAAAAAATACGCCTTGCACAAAAAAAAAGACCTTAGGAAATATACAAAGATAGGCGCAATATTTAAGGTGTGTTTTATATGAGTAATTGCAAAACGTATTAGTCCTTTGGGCCGGCATCTCAAGATAAAATCATGTTTCGGAAACTGTGCTAACTCAAAATAATTATTTCGTCACGTAAATACTTTGTTTAAGGGGTAAGTATTTTTTTTAATTGCATGCTTTATTTTAGCATTAAACATTGCTTGGGGGAGCCCAGCGTAAATTTAAAACACAATAAGTTAAGAGAGCGGTCTTACCAAGCGAACTGCACAAGCGCGCGCATTCCGGAAGAGGTGCCGCCGATATGCTACACGTAGTCTTCCCTCTCCGTCTTCCCGGTGGCAAAGGGCTGCGGTGCACATGCATCATCGTTTGAGCTGCTACGGTATCGGCTTCGATTCTTTTGAATATCTGTTGCATTTGTCTTATAGCTTTAAAATCCCTTTGACGTCTGCTTCATCGTTGTCTGGTTCGTCGTCTTCTTGAACGCAAGGACCCACTGCGATCATCCTGTGGTGCCAGTGCGGCCGCGGCAAAAAAACAACAATGCCACTTCTTGGGACTCAAGTGAAAATGTAGTTCAATGGCAAAGAACATGAGATTTCGAGGAATCGTCAGCTCTGTGTGGCACTTCGGAACACCATCAAATTTGTCGATGGAAAACGGAAGTTGCTAGTGCTCAGTCTTGGGCATAATGTTTATTCGAAAATGAAGTCAAAAGAGCTAAATAAACTTTCTCGGGGAGCGATAGCTTTCTAAAAGTGGTTTCATTCTGGCTGACATCTTGGGTCACAGAAGCCTACACACAAACACATACAACTCGCCTGTCAAAAAGAAACCGCCATGCCAGATACCTAAAAACGACGAGTGGAGATGGGTTTTCGTGCACAATTTTTATTCAATTTTATTTTGTTCGCGCAAGCTCAGATCCCAACGGTGGTCGTTTTTTTTTTTGTGGTCTTGAGCGGTGTTAGTGCAGAATGGACCAGTAACGCAAGAAAAAATTACGTTGTGGCGGTGGGTAAGGCTATTTTGCTGCCTTTTTGACGTTAAGTGTCACACTTCTAAATTGCATAATGCGATATTTACACGTTGTGCTAAGAAAAAAAAGTTAGGACTACAATTCACGTTGTGAAGATGGGTGACCGGCGAAGCTGTGGTATCACCTGCATCGATTTCCCACCACACTAAACCAAATGTTGCCGCCGTATTCAATCAATCAATCAATCAATCGTTTTATTTATAGCCTTTATGCCAACTGAGACCCTAGACAAAAAGCTGCCGGTGGCAGCTTGACGAGGTCTGGGGCCCGTCTCAAATTTGTCAGCAGGACATCCATTCAGGACACAAAAGGATATTAAGAATATTACATGCAAAGGAAAGATACGCTGAGTAATCACTTCATGCATGTATTGCCGTTCCTTTACCTTTTTTCCGCTCCTCGTATTCACGCTGCTCCTCGGGGGCCCTAACTATGCGTGCACCAACCCACAGCGGTGCTTCAACCACAATGAAATCAGTTGCTAGGCGGGTTGTTTCTTTATATATGAAAGGCTAGTAACGTCACATTCCACGTCGCGAGCTGCAGCGTCGCCGTGGCAGCTTCCGCAACAGTAATATCTACCGAGAAACGCATGCGGTGAGCGCTACGTGCGTCGCATTCTTTTCAGGAGCGCCTTACCATTAATTATCTGGTTTGGATGCTTGTTTTGCGAGTCTCCTTAATTAAAACGATTGATGTGCTGTATACTGCATGCGTGATGTATTCACTTTTCGCTTCGATAGCTAAAGCCTTTTTTTTTTTGTAAGGATTTTAACACTGAAAAATTTGACAACCGAGTCATATAGAGCCTCGGTGTAGAAAGGCTACCTTCGAAAAAGCCGTTTCTTTTTAGGCGATATATATCAACCATTTTGTTTTTGATCGTTTCGGTCTTTTAAAGCACAGTTGGGCTTGAAACATGTTGCCATAACAGTTATAGCCACCAATATATATCGAACAAAAGTGTATGAACAACGGCCGCCGCAAAGCAGTGCGGAGGTCCCGATTGAGATAGACAGCTACGGTGAGTGCTCGTGGAGGTTCCAACGAGCGGAACACTTCTGCACGCCCTGTAATCTTACACTCCCTGGCTAACGTACTGTGGGTATGAATACAAATGATGAAACAAATCGTGGAACAAATTGAAAAACACTATTTTTCCTGCCGCTCTGTCCGGCTCTGCTTACCTTTATTAGCCAATCTTTTCGGAGGCTGTTTTCTTTCGGGAAGACATACAATACGACGCCTTTCTGGATGGTGCTGTATTTGTAGCACGCTGTCGCAGAACAGGTGAAGCCACCCATTAACGACCGTCAGCAAACACCCGATCAAACGTTTCGTGTTAACCCGAAAATTTCCAAACGCCGGGCGTACAACCGCAGAACGCGCGTCGACGCGGCCAGAAAACTGGGGAGAGTTATAAGTACCTGAATGCCCTGCGGCAGCGGTGGTGTCGTGCAACTCCCGGTGAGATGGGTCTATCAGAATATCTGAATAAACAGTCCTGTTAAGTTCAAAAATATTATAAAAATATCTGTAGATTAAAAATACGTAGACGTTTTAGTTTCTTTTAGGTACTCAATTTCTTGTCGAACCATATTTTTCAGCGCTATGTATTGATCATATTCAAGACAAAACTGTGCAAAATCTTTACAATCACACAAATGCCTTCCACGCAGTAATATTGCTTTCCCATTTCCGCATGTCAAATCTGAATTGAATTTTTAATGAATGAACTGACTTCTTTATGTATCGATAGATGAACGCGTTTTGTACAGAGAAGAACCACGTTAAAGGAGTGGCTAACGACCAGAACGTTTTCTGCGATGGGAAGTCAACATGGCAGGTGATTTCAGAACATCAGGACATTCGGTGAGTTTACCACACAGCGCTCTGGAATGTGAGCTCCTAAATTAGTAAATGATTGAAAACGCACAAAAAGCTCGATTTCATTTTTGCCTTTTTGTTTAAGTTTTATTATGTGAAGCTAAAGGTGTCACTAATTTGTTTTGGACAAGAAAGAGCTGCCGAGGTAAATTCGTTAAGTTTGGGCATTTTGCGAATTCCTATCAGACCCGAGATTCGACTGGTTCGGAAAACTTTTGGATGTTTAGCAATTTAATTTTGTAAATAGTTTCGCTTTTTTTTATCATAAGGATCGCCAACTGTGCCCGCTCTTAATTAAACTCAAAATGGCGGCTCCCGCAAGCAAATAAAACAACGAAGTGCCGATGCGCTTTCATAATGGCCGATTCAAAAGTTGCACCGAATCGCGATTTTTCTTCCTTGTACAGTGCACTACGCGACGGTCACGTCACCGATTCATAGGATCCGAGCCTTGTCCACGGATGTGAGGACTAAAATGTCCAAGTGACTTTTCACTCGCGGAGTTTTGGGGGGTGATCGACTTGAAAAGTGTTTTGTCTAGAAACAACACGTTTTCTATGTTTCTGGGCGAGGAAAGCAAAAATGGCGCATGATTGTGTTTTGTGCGTTCGCTGCATATATTTATTATAATGCACAATAGAAGTTCAACTGGCGCTAGAGTGCTGCTGCAAATAGAGCAGACAGAAACCAGTCAAAACTTGATTAATGGTAATGCATTTTTATGGAAAAACCCGAGTGCATTCTCTCCCCAAGATCGGCCATAAGTGCAATGACCCGAATAACGCGTACATAAAAGGTTACTTAGAACATTCTTCAATGACATAGACGAAAGAATTGGTCAGTTACAGCAATTGCTTTCGAATCCAGGCCAATACACATAGTGCTAAAACAGATTCAAACATTTATTTATTTGCGCTGGCGGACACTGTTAGTGCGGACACGGTGTTGGCGCTTTCCAGCATGGGGGATATACGTGTCAAACGAACGAAGGACATGTGGAAAACCAAGAAAACGGCAACAAATGGGCGCGCGATAGTTTTTAGAAAGTTTATAGTCTTTCACCAAACGAACCGCAGTCCGTGTACCAGACCTTGGCTTCTTGATATACCGCTAAAACTTCAGTCCTACTGCCTTCGTATCAAGGATGTGTTGGCGGCGGGCAAGACTCTAGCAATTACTAGGGCGCGTTAATATCAAATTTTATGTGATTACTTCAAAAAATCTGTTTTATTATTATATAGAGTGAATGAGCTCGCTTCCTAAAAGAAGTGGGCATAGTTTTAATATACTACTCTTTGTCGCTCAGGCCTTAATGATATCGCGGGTCAAAAAGTAATATCACGTGGAGGGTTGAGCGTGTTGGTGTTTATTTTACGATAGCGAGAGGGACATAGAAAACAAACAGTGGACACAGGCATTTTATGTCCCTCTTTGGTTATCGTAAATTAGAGGGTCCCCGACTGGTGGACACCAAGTCATGCTTTGTAAACAGAAGAAAATGACTTGTTTCTACTTTTTTATGACACACACGCTTTTGTGTTTTATCTCCAGAACCACGAAATCCAGCAAGACGACGTATGTTGACACTGTGTTCAAGGAGGTAGAAATAGGCACACCCTCTTCCGGTCACTACACCGTTTTTGTGCTGGATGTATCTGCCAGTATGTCTGTAAGTAGCACAAAATAAGGACGCTTATTAGATATAGAGGTACGAAAAACGTAAGCCAACCCAACAGTGATCTCAATTTTTGTATTACAGGGCCTCCGCATTGAGGCTTTGAAAGATGCGTTCAGATCGATGGCTTCTTACGATCTCACGAACAACGACACGTTTGGAGTAGTAACATTTAGCAGATCTGCAACCCGTGTCGCCGAAATAGAGAAGTTCGCTCATTACAATCTCGCAGAGGTACGCTTCATGGCCGAACTTTTTTATCCCGACTCCTCCACTTGCATTGGATGTGGACTGAAGGAAGCTCTGGAGGTGAGCAGATCCGCTTTTTAAGGTCAAATGTTGAACAGTGCTGTATATATACGCTTGAATAATGCGTCTGCATGCATGGAAGCCATTAAAATACTCCAAAAGTATACTAATAGTTAGCTACCCTAATGCATGGTCGTTGTAACGCTTCACTTCGTTATTTTTACAACTCTCTGGGGAATAACCGCAGCTGAGATATAACAACGTAGTCACGAGAAACATCCTCCCCGCTGCATGTATGATAAACCCATAACATATTTTTTTTGTTTTTGCACCTGACACTAAAATGTAAACAATTAAAAAGAAGAATCTAAGGATTGTAATACGGTTGAGCACCATTAATTGTAGTTTGTACTTATTATAGAACCCCATGTTTACGAACAACTGGACTTTGTTAATTCTAGGTGTGGGCGTTGTGAGTTCGCGGAACTTGATTTGTGGGACGCGTATACATGCGTGCACTGAGCCGTCAGTCGCGCCGCCCTCTGCAACAGAATGAAACTGACACACGTTCGTATGTGTTACAGTCATTCCGTTAATGGGTGAGCCGCCTCCGTGGCTTCGAAGCAAAGCGCCGTCATTCGGATCCCCATGTGGCGGTTCGAATCCAATCCAAGGTTCCCGTCAGAGTACGGAGCCTTATTGCGGAGAAGGTGCCGTGTAATTGAGATTTTGCTTGCAAAACAAGGGGTCCCGAGGTAGTCGGAATGAATGCTCACAGTCCTTCCTCGGGGCATGCAAGATCTCATTGCTTGGTCTTGCACGCAAGTCCCCCATATTTGACTTTTTATTGGGTGCTTTGCACTAAACCAAAGATAGTAGCAACATGGACGTCACGCAAACTTCTAGCAAATGAGTGTGAGAAGCGACTTCCTAACGGTTTCAGCGCGACGCGCCGTAATATAGTCACGGGTGGTGATCAAAAAACAATAAATTAACAGGAAGAAAGAAACGTTTAATGTGGCGAACTTGTGCCAAAAATAAAAGTGTACAAAAGAAAATAACAGAGTGTCGCGGGCGTCGAAGTCGGCGCAACAGCAGAGTCGAACGCTGGGGCGAGACTGACTCCGCTCGCCTTGCGGAGTCCCTTATGTACCCTTGTAGGTTTCTGGATCATTCGGTGTAAAACTTTCGGTCCGTAGAACATTCGGAACTTGATCAGACGAGAATGTTCTCGACCTTACGAGTAGGCCAAGTTAGAAGAATAAATAAAAAGACAGTCCGCTGAATGGGATCGAGCCTACACCTGCCGAGCGACAGTCATGCGCGGTAACCACTCGACCACATAGGCGCTTGCTCGCCGACGCGCGTGGCATTACTCCCCCCTTTATAAGCGCGTCGTCTCGATGCGACGTGCTGGGAAACAAAACCCGCGAAACAAACAAACATAATGGCAAACTACGTGGACTTGTGCAACACAATCCTATCGCGCGTTTTACAAAGCATAATTTACAGTCCTATCGACCGTAGTACGGCTTGAGGCGCACGACGTGGACGATTTCCGGTCGTGGAGGGCGGCGTGATGAAGACCGTGTTCCGTCGGGCATCGCCTCGTAGTTCAGATCCCCGAGTCGACGAAGCACTTTGTAGGGCCCAAAGTAGCGCTTCAGGAGTTTTTCGCTGAGACCACGGCGGCGGATCGGTGTCCACACCCACACCGTCTCCGGGCTGGAAGTGGGCGTCCCCACGACGAAGGCTGCAGCGGCCAGTGTCGATAGGTTGTTGGGCTTGAATCCGGAGTCTGGCGAGCTGACGGACCTCTTCTGCCCGTTGAGGAGCCACCTGGGCGTCGTCGCTTCCGTTGACAGCCGATTCGTGGGGTAGTATCGCGTCCAGCATTGTCGTCACTTTGTGATCATGAGCCAATTGAAATGGTGTAACCCCGGTGGTCTCTTGCACAGCCGTGTTGTAGTCAACTTTTTTTCTGCTTAGCTTTCCTCCGCACCTCATAAATCGCGCATTCTACCAAACAGTTCATGAAGACGGAAAGGGGGAGTCCCTCTTGCTCGGAATCTCGTTTCTGTAGCCGGACACAGCCATTGTCCCCCTAGAAGATTATCCCGTCGCTCAAAATTCAGACAAAAGTTGCTTTCCCCACCCCGTTCACCCCGAAGCTGACAGTGCGGTGGAAGCTACGTGCTCGTTGGGCCAGCCACACTTTTGCCACGTGATAACGCTCTCTCGCGCATACCGACGCGCGGAGAATGAGGTCAGGTGATGAGAGGGAGGTGGCTGATTGGTCCGGCAAGCCCGTAGCTTCTACCACAATGTCAGCTTAGGGGTGAAGGGAATAAGTGAGGTTCGGTGCCGTCTGACGTGCGTTTGGGCCCGATGACGCGCGGCGGGTGCCCGGTGACGCGCTGCGGGGTCCGCGGATGTATCACGGTGAAAAGGCAGAGAGCTTAAGAAGGGCGAAATTATACGCACCACGACGCCCATGTCACTAATCACGAATACGTCCGCGTTCGGCACCGTCACGTACCTTTCGGTCGCCTCGAAGCGGTGGGGCACGGACAACGATTGCCCGCGGTGGAGTTAAGATTTTTGTTACGACTTCACCCGCACAGATCCAACTCGACGGCGCGACCGGCCCGCCGACCTCTCCATCCTCGCCGCGCATGCGCACTGCCGATTTAGGCGGAAATCACGTGGGCCGCTCTGTCAACTTCCGGAGAGATCTGCGAAATCCCGCAGAGCAAGTTCGGCGGGGTTTGATGCGCTCCATGGAGCGGGCGCTGCCAGAGATCTACGAGCGGAAGATGACCAGCTCGAGCCAGATGTGCAAGCGGAATATGCGCGCTCCAAATGGAGCGCTTTTGGAGCACTCGGGATCTGCGAGCGGAATTCACCATAAGAAAAAAAGGGTGTATTCGCGTGCATCGGGCGCACATACACCCTTTTCCTGAAAGATGCACCCTGCGTTGCCCAGCCAGTGTACTTGTACACCGACAATGAGCATCCTCCTCTCCCTTAAAAAACCTCTAGGTGTATCACTGCACCCCCACGTTAACCACGCGCCCCGATCAGCTTGTGCTTGGATTCCCCTTTGGGGGTCACTTGTTGGGTTGGGCAGTTCCTTAGGAACTATGGAGCTATCCTGTTCACTCGGTATTGACAGTAGAGTGAACGTTATGCTTGCTTTAGGCCACTCGGGTCTCCGGTCAGGATCGCATGACTACAGTCTCCAAGCTAGAGATAAGGCGGAGCACGGCACCTGCCTGAAGGCCAAGGCCAAGGATAGCATCCAGTGCACTATTAACTCTGGGTTGAACTTTCAAGAGAATATAAGTGACTAATCCTCTCGTGTTTATTGTTGGGTTGCCCCTGAAGATAAACCTTTGCGAGGGCGCCCCCTTTTGGCCTTGAAGGAGCTGCTTTTCCCCTACTCCACTCTTTTTCTTTCTGTCCCCAAGCTGAAAACATGGACGAAGGTAAAGGTTTTACGGATGGAGGTAGTAGCTTTTTTCGATCTCGGTGCTTCCCGGCCTAGTTTCTTGTGTGCTGTTCCGCGACCAGCGGGGCTGCCGTAGATTTCGTCCGCGACGACCTATTCGAGTGTACCAAGATTCCCAGTGTTTGAAAAGTCCTACGCGTATATCGGCAACCAGCGAGTTCTTCAGAAAAGCCCAAGGAATTCATGTGATGAGTTTAGTGTTCGGTTCGGCCAACTACTGCTTCTGCTACATTGTGTTGAATGTTCATGGACCCCTTTCCTTTCGTTTTTGTGTTGTTCTGCAGTGCCCGTGTCGACATAATTTTTTGGATTACATATTTCGAGTCCGGTGTTTTCATCGTAAGTGCTCTGCAACCTACTCCTTTGCAACAATTGACCGTTCCGTACCGGGATTACCTCTAGAATTAGGCAGTGTCTATTTTGTAGCAGTCGGGAGAAAAATTTCCCCAAAATTTTATCGGCAGTCGCCTGCCATTAGCTGACTACAATTATGTGACAACCGAACGTAGAATAGTGACTTCTTCTCCTGACGTTTTGTGAAAACACGTTTTCGTTGATACACGTTTTGTAGACGCGTTTCATCAACACTAACGTTTCATCGTCACTCGTTACGCGAAATGCACGCTGTAGGGACATTTTGCCGCGCGTGTATCTTTGAGGCGCGTGCTCACCGACGCAGCCTGCCCGTTCACGCCGCTTCGTGGCGACAGTCTGCGGCAGCTCATTACAAAAATGTTAACCCACCTGTCTCACCCGTACACGTCACTTCGCGGATACATTCTGGGGTGGCTCATTACAAGGAAGACGCGCCGTTCGTACTTTTTTCCTCCATTTTTTCTTAGAGTGTGGGAATCGTGTTCAGCAAAGAAGAGCTACTGAAAGCTCAGCGGAATGATCCGTTTTGTCGAAATGTGATCGACGGACCCTCGAGTGAGTCGGACTCTGTGGAGTCGGGCGGCGCGTCCGCCGGGCGTGCGACAGCTGGTATTGCAGTAAACGCCGAATGTCGGGATGGATCTGGTAATGGTACTGACACGTTGGATCGATTTTTGTTGAACGCCGACGGGCTCCTGCTGAAGTACATCCCATATGAGAAGGACACAGGTAATGTGTTCAAGCTGGTAGTGCCAAAAAGACTGAGGTGCGCAGTAATGCGTTACTATCACGACTCGCACTTCACTGGACATGCGAGCGGCTCCAAGATTTACAAAAAGTTATGCCACATCACAACCTGGCCGGGCATAAAAAGGGACGTATTCCGCTGCGCCCCCACGTGCCACACTTGCCAAAGCTTCAAACCAAGAGGCGGCAAACCTCCGGGCCTAATGCAGCCGATCCACAGCCAAGAACCATGGTCTTTGGCGGCTTGCGACGGGGTGGGCCCTTTACCATGGAGCCCCGAAGGACACAAGTATCTATTGGTTGTTACTGACCACTTCAGGGAATGGGTAGAATTTTTCCCACTACGAAAACTTGCGGCCCAAGCAGTCACTGAAAAGCTCGTGGAGGTTTTCACCCGATTGAGGTTCGCTGAAGCTCTTCTAACAGA